CACACACACACACACACACACACACACACACACACACACAGGTTTAGGTGTAGAACCCCCATGCCTAACGGTATACTTTGCAAATAAGAAAGGAAGCCTGAGGAAGCCTGAGTACTGGTCCTAGACTTTTAAGATTTCCATACATCTTGGAAGGAAGGTTGAGGTAGGAACAGGCTTTCTGACCATAGGAAGGACTTGGCAGATGTGAAAGGCCAGGATGTTGTTCTCTGGGTGACTGCCACTTCAGCAAGCAGGACAAATGGCTCAATGCTTTGTGTGGAATGGTTGGCTTAGAATGTCACTTGCGGATTTCTCCCAGGCCAATGCATGATTTGCCTCTATGTTAAAGAGTTTGAAGCCACATTCCAAACTTATAGGCAAAAATGTAATAACATTGCTTATAGGTAGTGGTATGATATAGATATGATTTAATTTTTTAAATGTGCCAAAAAGTATTGAATCTATCCAGTCAAATGAAAATTGGGCAATCAGCAAATATCATCAACATGGACACACTTCTTGGCAGTTTTGGGAAAAACATGCTATTTCTTCACCCCTCGCCCCCACGCTTCCCTACCTCCCAAGATGGGCCATTGCCTAAGTTGCACTTAACTATTTCCCTACAGACTCACCCAGTAAGTCAATACTTTAATTAATGTTACTGATTTAGATACCAAAACTTGTGTCAGACTTTCTACTATATCAGGAAAACCAACAGGGAGTCTAAGAGGAGATTCATTGAAAAATGCCTAGGACTCCCATTTATTACAGAAATGTCAGACATCACAGTGAACTTTCCAATAAGTAATTAGCCCCTTATTTTTTGGCATTATAAATTTGGGTCCAGTTGTGTAGCACTTCTTGTAGAAACCCTGACCTTCCATATAGAAGGCTATCTAAAAAAAAGTCACAAAGATGTTTTGCCTAATTTCCAAGTACTGTAGGGTCTACTACTGTAGGGTCTACCCTTTTGACATCTCTTGAACCCACAGCCTCCACTCCACCCTTCCTGCGTCACTGCAGTAGCTCATAAATGTTCTCACTGCTCACAGTCCTACTTCCTTCCAATCAGTCATTTACTCTGTTACCAGAGGGATTTTTATAATATACATATGTTCATGTCATTCTGCTTAAAATCTTTAGTAATTCTCCATGGCTTTTGAGATAAGCTCAATTCTTTGCCTTAACTGAGAGGTCTTTGGTGATCTGGCCCTGACCTCCCCTTGGCCACATCCCTGAATGTGTCTGCACTGGGCACAAGGGCTTACTGACAGGTCCCTGGATGTGTCATGTCTATCTATTCATCTGTGCCTTTGAATATCCTGTTCTTTACTCCTAGAATGTTTGTCCTTTGTTTTCTTAATTAGCTTCTACCTTCATTTAAAACTCATTATAAGCATGCATTCCTCTGAAAAGTCTCTCTTGTCCTTGAGTGTGCTTTAGAGGCCCTGTTCATCTGTACTTGGCATCACTCTGTGCACACCGCCAGTATTACCATCACCTAGGGTGGTATTTGGTGATGTGCTGAGCTGCCTCTTCCTAATTCAACCCCAACTCCCCCATTAAAACTTCCTTGAGGTCAGGAACGGCATCTTGTTTGTAACTGTATCTTGGTACTGAGTTTAATGATGAGAACAGTAATTTGTTAAATGAATGAACTTAGAGGTTCTTTTAATTAGCTCTTGCATGTCAGCCTGGAGGATATTGGTATGTAAAATTAACTACTCCTAGATACTAGTTCACATATTCCTAATACACCTGAGTCCAATGAAAAAGTCAAATGTACATTTCTATGGGATCTGACAGCATTATTTCATTTGTTCTTCACAGTAGCCCTAGAGTGCAAGTTTTGTAACGTTTATCACCTTTTTTAGATAGGGGAACTGAGACTCAGAAAGGCAAAGTGACTTGCCTGAGGTCACATAGCTAGCAAGTAGCAGTGCTGGGACTCGAACCCATAACCCGTAATACTGAGTCCTATACTTTTTCCATTAATGCATTCCATAGTTTTACAAGATATAAGGAGATTTATCTCCCCCAACATGAGTGATAGGCAGAATAATAGCACCCTAAATTTGTCTATGTCATAATCCCCAGAACCTACTAATATGTTACCTTACATGAAAAAGGGGACTTAGAAAATATGACTAAGGTTAAGGACCTTGAGAACAGGTGAGTTCTCACACCTAATCATGAGTTCTTAAAAGCAAAGAACCTTTCCCAGCTGAGGTCAAAGCCAGAGAAAGATGGGATGACAGAAGGTGGGTCCGAGAGACGTAACATGAAAAGGACTCAACCCACTGTTGTTGGCTTTGAAGCTGGAGGAAAGATCCACAAGCAAAGGAATGTGGGTGGCCTCCAGAACTGGAAAAGACAAAGAAAGAGTCTTTCCTAGAGCCCCCAGAAAGGGACATAGCCTTGCCTGTGCCTTGATTTTCAGCTCATTGAGATCCATGTCAGACTTCTGACCTATAAAACTGTGAGATAAATGTGTTATTTTAAGCCACTTAGTTTGTGGTAATTTGTTACAGCAGCAATAGGGAAGTGATACTCTGGGGTCTGAAGCAAGAGTTGTGCTGAGTCCTGGTGAGGGGCAGCTCTGAAGGCTGGGCTCAACACCCAGGGGGCCCAGGTCCTGGCATAGCTCTTCCTATCTTAGCAGTCACACAGAAGGTGGCTAGCTAGGTTCACAGCACAAGCTGCTGGAGGGAAGGCTGTGCATAGACAGGGCCAGACCTAAAATCATCTAGCCCCAGATTCTATCACTAGCGTTTCCAGGGCATGATTATCTTTCTTGATGCTTGATAGTAATGTCAAGGGTTAGTCATGTGTATTCCCCAACAGTTCTGTTTCCAGCATGGTGAGGTAAAGGGGAAAAATCACTGGATAAGGAGGCTTGCAACTGGGTCTCAGCTTATCCATTACTCCCTATTTTGCCTGGGTGAAAATCATAACTTCTTTGGGACTTTATTTCCTCAGCTATTAAAATCAGAGGCTAGTTGAGACAACATATATGGTCCTTCTCAGTTCTAAAATTCTCTAATTTCATTCACAGATTCCTTTCTGCTAAATCATCTGGGCTGTCAGTCAAGGACTCAGCAAACACATTATTTGGCCATGTTTAAATGAAACATATGGGTGACATGCTAAATTCATAACTGAAATGACTGTAAGTATATAGCTTCATCTCTTCTTTATGCCCATAAAATTGCTTTGCACATCAATAAGAAGAAAAGAATTTGCGGTGATCAAAAAATATAGGATTTGGGATTATATTCTGGACCATTATTTACTAATGGTTGGATCTTGGGCAAGTTACTTAACCTCTTTATGTCTTCATTTTCTGTCAATTGTAGATGATAACAACATTTACCACATGGGGCTGCCATGGGATAAAAATATCAAGTGTTTAGAACAATGGCTACTATAGAGTAAAGGTATAATGTATGTTAGCTCTTCCACCTTTATTATTTGAAAGCTGTGATGCAGTAGAATTCAAAATATGATTTCAGACTGGGCATGGTAATGCTCACGCCTGTAATCCCAGCACTTTGAGAGGCTGAGGCGGGTTGATTGTTTGAGACCAGCAGTTCGAGACCAGCCTGATCTCAAATGTGGCAAAACCCCAACTCTACAAAAAATACAAAACCTAGCCAGGTGTGGTGGTGCAAACCTGTAGCTCCAGTTCCTTGGGAGGTTGAAGTGGGAGGATCACCTGTGCCTGGGAGGCAGAGACTACAGTGAGCCAAGGTTGTGCCACTTCACTCTGGCCTGGGTGACAGAGTCAGACCCCATCTCAATAAATAAATAAATATTTTTTAAAAAATAAAATACGATTTCAAAAAAGGCACATTCATAGACAAAAAAGAAGATTATAGCTAAGTGCCTGCTTACCTTTCATAAAGAGGGGCCGAGTTGTTTTCCAGAGATCTGGATTGTTGTTAAATATGATGCCTTTCTCATGCATACCAATGCACTGCAGCCCAAGTTTGCTGCCAAATCGAGAGCTGTAATGATTGTGCTTCATTACATGGAACATACTTGAGGACCTGAAAAGAAAGGAAACCTTGGTGTCACTTTTTAAGGGTCAGGAGAACTCATGGTGATACATTTTGACTAGGAAGTATCTCTCTTAGCATATTCATGTTGCTCCAAAGGCAATGTGCATGATTTCAAGTATTCAGGTTGAATAAGCACTTCTGTTAGCATGAGAACATCCTTCTCCAGTTGAGTCATTTCTACCTACTGACTCCCTGTTTGAACATCACAAAAGACAGAAAACACACACACATACCCACATACCATTCCTTATTTCTCTTACTTCTCTAACTTCACCAAAATATGTCCCACTACTGGAGTCAGAGCTGCAAGGGTGTTAAGAAGCTGAACCCTCCATATCATGAGAGCCAGAAGAGCCTCCAGACTCCCAGATACCATCCAGCCTCACTCCAGAAAATGCCACCCACTATAAGAGTGAGCCACAGAATTGGAAGTTTGTGGAATTACTGAAGTCTTGTTTTCCCAGTTTGGAACCAGCAGTTTTGCCTAGTACCACCCAACTCCAGTCTCTAATCAGGCCTGTTCCCTCCAGTGGAGTGTCATTCAGGGCTTGAAAAATATCTCCTTGGGCATTCTAGCCCTGAGCTTGGCCAGAGCCTAGCTGGGCTGGCATGCCAAGTTCACTATGGTAGTAAAGGAAGCTATTTTGGGGCTCTGCATTCCATCATGACTCATCAAAGTCTCCAGGGTCCCAGGGTTCTCCCGTGATATAAGATGTAATGAGTCATGAGATAGTGCAGTTTGTACAATGCTCAATTGTGCAAATTCAAGGTACATAAGATGTCATTGGTATTATCTTGATTTCAGATGTTGTTGTTGCTTTCTTGGTGAACTTAATATTTATATAAATTTTCATGTATTCATTGCAGCTTTGGTCCTCTTCCCCTCTGGTCTCCTGAAATTTTGTTTCACAACTGCAAATTCTCCTATTATGGAGCGTTTCAGAACCTATAACCCTCAAAGATTAGACGTGGTTACTATAATATCTGCAGCTGTTTCTCAGACGGGTTGGGGAGACTCTTGCTCCTCCCTCTGCTAGTTGACACTTGGCTTATATAAGGATACCTTTGCCTTAGTGAGGTGGTTCAGTTAATGCCTGCTGAAATACATTCCCAGAGGACTCTAGGACAAAAATGTGCTGCTCTGGTTTAATGGATTAGGTTGTGGGCTCAGTATTAATCCAGTTCTCACATCTGGGATGTGTTCCATAGTCCTGTCTAAGCTTTAAAAGTAAGTCCCTGAAATAACGGTAGTGTCAAGAAGTCAGAACAGAATCATTATTATATGAAATACAAAAATTAGCTGGGCAGGGTAGTGTGTGCCTGTGGTCCCAGCTACTTGGGGGACTGAGGCAGGAGGATAACTTGAGCCCTGGATGTTGAGGCTGCAGTGAGCCATGATCATGCCACTGCACTCCAGCCTGGGTGACAGAGCAAGGTCCTGTCTCAAAAAGAATGTAAGAGAATAAAGAAAAAAAAAAAAAAAAAAGCAGAGTTATTATTAAATAAACAACTTATTTACTCGACATTTATTTCAGGAAAAAAAACCCCTATTTTCAAATCAAAACACTATTAAATATTCTCTTGATCTGATTCCAGATAATATTCATCAAATAATCCTAAATTTTGGACGTGTTTGCCTCTCCCTAACAACAAAAACAAAAATAAAAATTCAGAGGCTTCCATTTGTATTCTAGGGAATTAATTTGTCTGATGGTTCAAATTTTGTCATCTATAGAAAAATTATGCCATAGGAAGGAATGAAATTGTTATGAATTAAAATATTTGAAAACTACCTTCCCCTCCATCATCCTATAATTAAAGCAGAAAGTAAGTAATTTGTATATTCTTTGTTCACAAACTCATATCTAAAAATTTTAAGCACTCAGAGGACAAGCAGAACACTATTTTTCTGCTCTGACCCTAGGGCTTTTGCTTCCTGTATTAATCATATTGGCCTGTCCATTTCATTAAAAAACTTGTTAATCAATTTTTAGATGAGATAAGAAACTCCAAACATAAAACAAACCCAAGTAAATGTTTGCTAGTTATTAATAATAAAAAGCCAAACTTAAAAATTCATGTGTCCTTTAGGGGGCACCAACATCTCAGCTATTTTGAATCCAAAGCTCAGCCTTGTCAAGGGACAAAGCTAATCAGGCAGAAGTGATAAAGCAAGGGGATGGATGACTGGCTACAGAACAGCAATTCAAAGCAAGGCCATTTACTAAAAGTAAGCTGGATTTATCCAACCAGAGTAAATCAGAAAAGTGAAGAAGAGAAGGTCAGTGATGAGCTAAGAACCCCAGTCCAGAGCTCCTCCGGGCAGTCAAGACAGGCCTGGCTCTGGCTTGCAGGCCAGCCAGCAACACTGCTGGAAGCAAGTATTATGCTGATTATTTGGGAGAGAGAGGATTTCTTACCACTGGGGAGAGTCCAACTGAGTCCCCAACCTCAGAAGGGACAGTGCATAGTGTTGGGTGTCTGGTCACTAGGGTCATTATTCCTCATTAAGCGTGACTGAGGGCAAAAGACACCTCCAAAGATGGCAAACCTATTGTCCATTCAAAATGAAAAGTAGCCAGAGAGTAAGCTTTTAGGTGATGAGGAAGAAGCCACCTGAGTTCTGGGTTTAAACAATTCACACACTTGTGGGCAGGTTTAACAGTGATAAGGAGGCAATTAATGAAATCATTGGTGCCATTTTTTTTTTTTTTTTTTTTGAAACAGAATCTCTGTCACCCAGGCTGGAATGCAGTGGTGCAATCTCAGCTAACTGCAACCTTCAACTGCCAGGTTCACACAATTCTTGTGCCACAGCCTCCTGAATAGCTGAGATTACAGGTGCCCACCACTATGCCTGGCTAATTTTTTTGTGTATTTTTAGTACTGACGGGGTTTCACCATGTTTGCCAGGCTGGTGTCAAACTCCTGACCTCAAGTAATCTGCCCACCTTTACCTCCCAAGGTGCTGGCATTATAGGTACGAGCCACCGCACCCGGCTGGTGACAAACATTTAAGAACATTTGCCTCATGCAAGCCTATTCTGTTCCATCAATCCTATCACCTTTTCACTGTCCTTCACTGCTCTAATATCTTCACTTACCCAGCTTAAATTATAGGTGACTATAAGAGATAAACAATCTTTATAAAAGACGAATCTTACTGTAATCACCTAACCAAGTGATCAAATTTAACGTCAGTGCTAGTGGGACAACCTGTTACTCATCTTCCAATGTGATGTGATATGAAGTTCCTAGTACTACTGAAGTGTTACTGCAAAAATGTGCAACCTGGATCTAATTGAGTCTTTAGACCCAATTTTCCATTTATAAGAAATACCGGGAACAGATGAATATAGTAAATGACACCAGGATGAAACAGTGAGAGAAATTCAGAATGTGGAATATCTTATAACTGACCGGGTCTCTTCAAAAAGTCAGTGTTATAGGGGGAAAAGTGTGGTGGGGGGATGCTCTTTCAATTTTCCTATTCATTTGATAATTTTCTTAATAGAAAATTGGGAAAAATTATTGTCAGTTATTAAAGTTAGAATACCCTTCCCTGAATCTTCCACGCCCTTGACCCTCTTGTTACTTTGTCATGGTTGCGTGGTAAAACAACAACTCCAGCCAAATCCAACTCTTAGCCTGTTCTGTGTTTGCACCTGGCAGTTGGATTGGGTTGGGAAAAAAAGAAAAACCGTGTGTGAATGCCTGTGTGTGTGTGAGCCCACACCCACCTGCTGACATGTTCTTGGTTAAATTCAAGGGGGCCCTTAGTGCCACTGGCAGTTCTACTGCATGTCCCCAGCCCATTCACTTTCTCACTCTTCTAGACAACTATTATATTCTCCCCACTCAGCTCCAGCTGAAGACTTTTCCTATTTTCCTGAAAAAATGGAAGCATCTACAAGAACATCTCCACAAGCCCCAACGACCAGGACCTGTGCCTATATATTCCACCTTCCCTCCAGTTACTATGGAAATTCCATGTCCCTATTCAAGGCCAACCCATCCACTTGTCCTCAGGGACCTCTTCACACCTCACCTAGCACACCCTTTCTTTCTCTTTCATCAACAATCATTTGATTTTCCTTCGTAATTGACCATTCCCTCTACAACTCACATGCTGTGATTTCTCCTATTTTAAAAATCAAAACTCATTTGCCCACACATTCCTCTCAGCTACTGTCCCATTTCCTGCCTCCTTTATGGCAAACTCCTTGGAAGACTTGTCTACATTTGCTGCTTCTGATTCTTCTCCCCCTATTCTCTTTTCTGGTCAGACTTTTGCCCCCACCAGTCCACTGAAACTGCTCTCGTCAAGGTCACCTGTGACCTCCCTGTTGCTCAATGCAGTACTGAAATCTCGATGCATTCCCTTGCCCTGTCAGTGGCATTTGACATGGTTCACAATTTCCCACTCCCTGATATGCATTCTTCACCTGGCTTTCAGACATCACACTTCCTGGTTCTCTCTTCTCAGTCTGGCTGCTCCTTCTTAGTCTCTGTTGCTAGTTTCTGACCTATTTACATTCGAGGGTCTCAAGGTTCAGTCCTCTCTACTCATCATCCTACTCAAGTGTCGACTGGGCATGTCAAATCTAACGTATCTGGAATGGAACCCTGATCCTTCCCCCTCCCAGACTTGCTCCACCTATCTCAGGACACGATGTCTCCATTCAATGTAAAACTGGACAACACTTTAACGCTTTATTTTTTTCTCTCACACCCTACATCCAATCTGTCAGGAAGTCTGTTGGCTTTGCCTTCAAAATATGTCCAGAAGTTTCCCTCATCTCTTGTCATCTCTACTGCTACCACCTGGACCAGCCAGCATCACCTCTTGCCTAACTGGTCTCTCTGCCCCCATCCCTTGTCCTCTTGCACCTGTTCTCAACAGAGCAGCCAGAATGATTCTGCTGAAACATAAATGAGTCATGTGTCACTCCTCTGCTCAAAGTCTTCAATGGCTTCCTTTCTCACAATGGGTAAAAGCCAGAGTTGTTACAATGGCCTGCAAGGCCTGACATGATTTGCTGGTAAATACTCATCTCCAGTATTCTTTCACTCAGGCTCTTACTGTTCCTTATGTCTAGAATGCTTTTCCTCCAGGTCTCTGCATGGGCTACTTGCTCATTTCCTTTAGGTCTTTATTTAAATGCTATCTTCTCAGTGAGGGTTGCCTGAACCACCTATTTACAATCACACCTGTGTCTCCACAACTGGTCCTCTCCCATCTTCCTTCCCTACTCTCTTTCTATGTAACACCTCTCTGCCTGATAGTAGTGTGATCAACTATCCTGGTTTGCCCAGGACTATGCCAGTTTCAGCACTGAAAGTCTCACATCCCGGAAATGCCCTGGTCCCAGGCAAACTGAAACAATTGGTCACCCTGCTGATACACTATGTACTTTACTTGTTTCTTGTTGACACACTTAACAACATATTGCTCCATGAGAGTAAGGAATTTTGGCTGGTTTGTTTACTGCTGCATTCCCAGAGCTTAGAACAATACCTGCTATACATAGTAAGTTTTCAATAAATATTTAATGGATGAATGGAGAGCCAGTAATAACTATTATAACTTAGAATCATTCAGTGCTTAGTATATAATACATTCTCAGTAAATGTATGTTCAAAGAATAAATGAAGGAAACCCCTGTAAATGATGTGTAAATTTGCACATCAAGACAGGTATAAAAATGTAACCCTAATTAGTATGTTAATTGCTGACAGATATGCAAATATAACCCAGATTAGCATGCTAATTGCTAATTTCCCTTTATGAGTGCTACATTTTTTTTTTTTGTATTCATGACAAAAAGCAATCTAGGGACATATAATGGACATATAGTGTCATATGCAGCACCTACAGACCCTCGTTAATTTAGAGCACAGCTGCCTGGGTAGCTGCCTGGGGGAACCCAGCACATATCATCTATAGTTCACCAGTTGGATCGTACCTCCAAGGCCCCCAGTGGTGCAGGCAGCATCTCAGCAGTGCACATGCCTGATTTCTCCCCTGAAGTTCTGCAGCCCCCACTGTCTTGGGACAAAGCTAGAGGAAAAGTTGCACCGTAATTTCTACACAGTTGTAATGACTATAGACCTCAAACATTTCTAAAGAAAAAAATCTGGCAAACTATTCAAATAAAAATAAAAATCTTTGTGAGGTCCAATGGGGTATTTTCAAGAGGTACGGGGAGTTCTGGAAGAGACTTGAAGAGCAGGCAAGGAAAGGAGATGGGGAAAAACATGTCCTATTCCTGAGGGGAGCTCAGCCTTTAACAGCAAAATTGAGCTGCTCTGAGGCAATTAAGGAGAACACAAAGACTCCGACAAGTGAAATACCTGAGAGGGCAGAACAAAGAAAGAACTAGGAGAGCTGGGGATAGGTTGGATGGGTTGTGGCTGCGTCTCGGTGTGCACCAGCCCTGACTTGGTGGGGGTTGTTGGAGTCACTTTCCTAATTTAGACAAGCAGAGTGGTCAGATGCCACCCCCACTGTAAGAAACAACCACTTTCAGGAATTGTCTTTGGAAATTTGGGGAATTTTGCTGGAGACCTAAGAATCTAGCATCAAAATATCTAGTATTTCAAAATGATTTCTGTCTGGGTACTGTGGTCCTTTCTCAAGTCCATCATTCTTTACTCCATTTCTAGTCTCACACCTCCACCATCTTAGCATAAGACAAAACCAAACCTGCATCATTGTTTCCCTCACCCCAGGAGAGGCCCTTCTGCCCCAGGAGCTTCCTCCTCTACCCCCTCTTTAGATGGAATGTTCTCAAACTCAGCGGTACCTTGGGATCACCTGGGGATTATTAAACACTACTGATGCCTGGGTCCTACCCCAAGAGGTTCTGAACTAAAAGTAGGGGTATGGTCTGAGCAGTGGGGCTTTGAAAAGCTCCCTGGGTGGCTCTAAGGTACAGCCAGGGTGAGAGGTACTGTACTAGATCTTGGACTGCAGGTAGATATGCTTCTAGATAAATATCTGAGGGTCACCTCACCTGTCTGCTGAGGGAAAGAGGTGATGGGGAAAGCAGACTCTGGGCTGGGGAGAGCTGGAAGGCAGGTGGCTGTGGGGGGAAATGAAAGAGCAGCAGCAAATGTCCCTACCCCCAAACCCAAACACCAGTGCTTCCGGGATATTTGTGAGACCGTAGCCAGTTGTAAAAGTGACTCAAGTACTGATTTTTTAAATGAGAACATATCAAAAACATATACTCACTTCAGTTTGGCTGACTACAGCCTAATAGACCAGGAGAAGTAAATAAAAAAGTAATTAATTATGATCTAGTTCTTAGAGCAGTGGTTCTCAAACTCAGGTGTGCAGCACAATCACCTGCATGTAGATCACCTAAGGTCAGGAGTTCAAGGCCAGCCTGACCAACATGGAGAAACCCTGTCTCTACTAAAAATACAAAATTGGCCAGGCATGGTGGTATATGCCTGTAATCCCAGCTACTCAGGAGGCTGAGGCAGGAAAATCGCTTGAATCCAGGAGGCGGAGGTTGCAGTGAGCCGAGATTGTGCCATTGCACTCCAGCCAGGGCAACAGGAGTGAAACTCTGTCTCAAAAAAAACAAAAACAAAAAACAAAAAAACACGGATTGCGTGTCCTACCCCAGACTGTCTCACTTAGTAGGTCAGGGTGGGGCCCAAGAATGTGCATTGCTAACAAGTTCCCAGGCATGTTGATCCTGCTCCTTGAGGGACCACACTTTGAAAACTACTGCATTAGAGTATTTCACAATGAACCCGGTGAAATGATGTTTCCACCTGAAGCCATTTCTGTTTAGTTGTGTAAGTGAGGTCTGCCTTAGCTACTCTTAAAAGTGTTACAACACTAAACGGAATGAAACAAACCGAAAAAGCCCAGGCCCAAAAAAATTTTGGGGTAGTTTGAAATATTTGGAAGTATTCATATAATACTGATTTCTCCCCTGCTCCCTTCTTTCAGTATCTGCTTCAAATATTTGGGCTTTGAGGATATCATAGTATTTTATAAGATGTAGTAGTTTACGACATGGTATTTTATGTATGTAATCCTGACCTGAAAAAATTACGTAGTTTCTAGAAAAGCTTCACTTACTTTTGAGCTATAGACTTTGTATCTGAATGAATAATTCTAACAAATTGGAAGACACCCTGGTCAGCTTTAGTTTGTGGGTGAAGTTCTGTTACAAATTACAAATATAAGAATGTATTGAGACAATGTTTGCAGATAGCTTTGCTAAAAGTCTACTGAAGATAGCTGAACGTCTAGGGAAATATGCCATCTTTGAAATTCTCCATTTTCTAAGATCAATAAACAAGAAAACAAGTGTTCTACCAAACTAGTTGTTTATAGTCAATTCCTATTTCGTTAACCATAGAACTAATTCAATCTGCTTGTTATCCACAAAATATAACAACGCAGAGAGGGAGGACACTATTTTTTTAAATGAGTAATATTGTTCCTGATTTATGTAAGATCACTCTGCTGGGATACTGGCAGAAAGTCATAAATGGGAGAGCAGCATGTGAATGACTTCTTTTTCTACCATCCGTTCTTTTATTTCTTTTCTTTTTTTTTCTTTAATCGGATTCAGCCAAGGTCAGCTTACTGTCTGCTCTTTTAGAGGTGCTCAGTTGCTTGGCGGGAGAATAGCAAATTGCTAACCAGATACCTCTGTCTCAGGTTTTATTTCATTTTAAAAAGACAGGGTCTTGCTCTGTGACACAGACTGTAGTGCAGTGGTGTCTTGGGCTTTTTTTTTGTTTTGTTTTCTGTGGTTGTTTTTGTTTGTTTGTTTGGCTTGGTTCTTTTTAATGTTTATTTGTGGTTAAGACCAAAAAACTTGGAAAAACAGAAAAGAGTATGTTTTGTCAAAATCAAATTATGTGGCTTCTAAGTTTCCACATTCACTGATGACAGAGATTTTAAATAATTTCCCAGCTTTCCAGAGTTCTTTATTTATGTACCGCTGGCTTCAATTCAAGCAAAACCCAATTATTCCGTGTGCAATGTTAGATTTCTGGGGATTGTTCACCTTCATTTCAGTGGTAAAAATATAGCGTCAGAAACAAACACATCAAGATTCAAAATAAAATTGTCCTAAGTGGAAAAAACTCCAGCATCAATTTAAAAAGTACGTCTTCGATTATGAACAGACTCACTTGCTGATAATGAGTGTTTCCTCTCCAGAGATCCAGACTCTCATGAATTCTCCATACATCCGGTTGTAGTAGTTGCAGGCATTGCCGATCCCCATCCACAGGAATCTGCCGTGGGAGATAAGGGGTCCAATTCCCATGCAGTAGCCGGGACCTAGGACAGGCATCACAGCACAATAAGCATCTTAGCCATACCAAAAATAGCAACTGCTTTGTGTTGCTCCTGTTTTTTTTTTTCTTTTATAGCTAAATGTTCTTTATCTCTGATGTGTATCTGTGAATCACGAATGAAGTGAAACAAAACAAAAGCCTCACACTTAACATGAGGCACTTCTCCCCTCCATGAATAAAAAGGAGTTCAGTGTCCATGCCACACTAGTTTTATTTGGTATCAATCATTTCAGTCTGAATGAACTTGGGTGTCTGTGCTAATTTCTTCCCATGTTAACTGGTGTTAGTGAGTTTTGAATACAAGTCAATTGGTGTGTTTGGTAGCAAACATGGAAACACTGACAAGTGACAAGCCGGCAGATCTGTTTGGTGCCTTGTTTTTTCTGGAAACTTTCAATTTGAGTGCCCCAGTTGACAGAATGGGTGGGTTAAAACTGGTCTGCAGTTTTGTAGGAAAACTTTCAACTGAAAGAAACAAAATCTACAAAGAGAATGTCCAATCCAAGAACATCTATTTCTTTTTTCTTTTTTTTTTTTTTTGAGACTGAGTCTCACTCTGCTGCCCAGGCTGGAGTGCAGTGGCATGATCTCGGCTCCTGGGTTCAAGCAATTCTCTGCCTCAGCCTCCTGAGTAGCTGGGATTATAGGTGCCTGCCACTACACCCGGCTAATTTTTGTATTTTTAGCAGAGATAGTTTCACGATCTTGGCCAGGCTGGTCTTGAACTTCTGACCTGATGATCCACCCACCTCGGCCTCCCAAAGTGCTGAGATTAAAGGTGTGAGCCACCACACCTGGCCCATCTATTTCTTTTATTTCCCTCAAAAAAGACTCCATTTAAGAAAGGTTCTTAAGCTAAATCTCTTAGGCAAAATAAAGATAAGAGTTGAGGAGTCAGGCAATGGGTCTTTCAGCCTCTATACCGGAGTTTGAGTCCCATGATCTAGTTTTAGCCAAAGGTAGTGGCCACTTAGCAACCTTTCTTATGCAGAGAATGGCAGAATTGTAAAGAACATGAATCCAGGGAACAACTAGGGAATTTACTGTTGCTTTTATCAGAGAACAAACTTGGTAGTTTGATTTTACTGGTGGTGGTAAAAAGTTAGATTAAAAAGTTTTAGGATGTTTTTCAGAATTGTCAGGTTGTAGTTTTTCTAAATCTTTCTCTAATTCCATTCTGTCAGTGAAATCATTCTGAAGCCAAAACACACCTAACTATGTGAGATAGCATTCTCACCTTATGGGCAAGAATTGTGTAATAATCTACATAGCAGGAGCTTTTGCTTGAATCATCTGAATTGGATGTTTAGTCCCAAACACAGCAAACAGTGTTAGTCTTTTACTTTGCAATAGCTAATATGAGTAAGACTGTCAGCTCTTTCTTCCCTTTAAATAGACGATCTTTGTTAATACTTATGGAACCAAAATATGGTCTAAGGTTACTAATCTTGTGATTATTTTAGTAACACTACATTACACAGTAGATGACTGACTTTGTATTAAAATAATTCTATTAAGCTCTTTAAAAGATTTCCATAGCAGATTTGATTGAATATGTATTTCCTTAAACTGTCATTAGATATATTAACCTTTAATCAATTAATATATGCATAATATAATACCTTACTGGATATTTATAGCTTGGCACACTGTAGATGCTCAACAAATGTTTCCTGAATAAATTTCAAAAATTAATTAGGCATGTGTATCTAATATAAAGGATGAAGTTTTAAATGCCATCCTTTTTTTTTTTTGAGACAGAGTCTCGCTCTGTTGCCCAGGCTGGAGTGCACGGGTGCTGTCTCAGCTTACTGCAACCTCTGCCTCCCAGGTTCAAGAGATTCTCCTGCCTCAGCCTCCTGAGTAGTTGGGACTACAGGCGCGAGCCACCACCCCCAGCCCGCCATGTAAAGAATCTTAATATTTGCCACCTGCCATTCAAATGTAAGCTATGACGCAGGAGAGATGTATCTACTAAAAAAGGGAGATTGAACCCTGTGCTTAGATTAAGAACCTGAATGTTCTAACCAGAAGAGAACCAGAGTTTTGAGTTCTTAGCGACCAGTTGTATATCAGCTTAATTCATCCAGCAAACACTGGTATAGATACTACTGGTATAGAAACTAACTCCAAATTAGGAACTGGAGACATTATAAGTATAATGGTCCCCATCAGAGTCTGGGGGCAGGAGAGGAGAGTGTGTGAAAAATAATTAAAAATAAAAGAATTTTAATACAGTGTTACCTTTTTACTTATATCTTATGCCCCCCACCCACCCTCCAGCTGGAGAGGAGAATGTTGGAGGAAGGTAGAGACTTTGATAAAATATTAGGGAAATATTCTGGTCATATCCACGTTAAGCTGCTTTCTGCTTCTCAGATTTGGGAATGCTTATCTAGGCAGGCAGTGATTGCGGGAGCCTCTTTCATACCCTAAAAGAAGCAGTAAATACTTTGCTGCATTTTTGTACAGAGACAACCTCCTTGGAGCCAACAGCTGGGACCTCTCCCCAGCTGTCCAACACCATAGAGAAACCTGTGTGCACATATACATTCAGAACAGCCCTGTTCACAACAGCCTCAAACTAAAGACACCTCAAGTATCTCTCAACAGTGGAGATGACAATTAAACCATGAGATATTTATATAACTCAATACCTATGGCAATGAAAATGAACTCTGCCTGCATGCTGCAATGTGGATGAATCCTACAACTATACTGTTGAGGAAAAGAAGCAAGATAAAAGAATACATAATGTATGAATTGACTGCTAAAATGTTTAAAACAAGGCAAAATTTACCTGTATTGTCTGGGGATGTGAAATTATATGGCAAAATTATAAAAAACAAGGGAGTGACTGTCACAAAATCAGAGTATTTCAAAAACAGTGTTTTGCTCTGGAGTGAGGGAGAGAGTGATTGCAAAGGCACACGAGGAGCTTCTGGAACAAGGATAATATCTTCTTTCTCGGGCTGCCCTGTGATGGCAAATTTATCACTGCACTGTGCACTTTCCTGTGAAATGTTGTCTTAACAAGAAAAAGAGGAATGTCAGTTGCCATGCTTTTCTTTTTCCCCTAGTGCTCTGCTCTGGGATGTGGCACCCAGGGCAGAGTGTGGCATCTGGAGGGAGAGTACCCTTGTTCAGAGTTGGGGATGGCTCTATGTCCTTGGGGAAGGGAAAGTTGCCAGTGCCAGGTGTTTGTGAGTCCTGACCCAGATCAGTAGACTTGGGGCAATGTTTCAGAACTGAAGCTCCCAACTCCGCCCCCCTAGCCACTCCTCCTCCCCGACAGGAATGACTCTTTCCTCAGGACTTTCATAGCCCCTACCTGGCACTAAGTCCAGTCAACCACCTAGGTGTGTGTCCCTGACTGATTTTACCACTTGTATATAATCCCCTCGGGGCAGAAACTGCATCTCTTTCATCTTCTCACACCTCCTCCCTTCCCTTAGCTGGAGAACAGGGCTTCTCAGTAAATACCCACAGAAGCAGCTTAGTTATGAGCCCAGCTTCATCACTTATTAGTTGTGCAACTCTTTGATTCTCAGTTTTGTCATCGACAAAACAGATACAAACACACCAATCTCACTGGAGAAAATGGGCATGAAACAACTGCTTTGTAAATTATAACTCACTTAAGGGCTTTACATCATTATAAGTTCTTAAGTCCCCCCAGCTTTCACTGGCCCTGAGCTTTCTTGACTCTGAGCTTCCCCCAAACCTTAAAACCGAGAACCTGGAGAGGCACTGATTTGAGGGAGCTGGCAGGAGCTCAAGAGCATTGATTAGCAAAACCACCCTAAACAAGGCCAATTTTCTTACCTTCCCTCCCACAACCAGAAACCACAGGATCTGACAGCCTGTGCCACTAGTGGATTCTAACTAGACCTTCTGCTTTCAAAGTGTGAAACTAGAAACTACCTGGCTAGCAAAATGATCATCAACCTGGGCTTTAGGACTTCCCGGTGGTCCCCCTGTGTTCCCACTTTCTGTCCAACTGGTGAGCTGACAAGCCATTTCCTTTCTCTGGCCTTTAACCCTTCACTTGTAAAACGAGGAGTTTGAACTCTGTGGCTTCTCATGCTTGTCAAAGCACTTTGCCTGGGCAAGGCAGATCAGCTCCCTGGGTCTCAGTTTCACGTTCTGCCAAATGCAGGGGTTAGGCTCATATCTGTGGCTCTCAACCTTGGCTGCTGATGAAAAATCAGGAGGGAAGATTTAAAAAAAAAAAAAAAGCAACCCAAAACTAGCTGAGACCCTACCTCAGAGAGTGCTGAGAATCACTGTGCTACTCGTTCTGACTGTCAGTGGATGCAGCTTCATGGCCCTGGCCCAGAAGTGCTGGACAGAGTGAGGTGCTGCCTACTCTCCCATGGATCCAGAGCTTCAGGGCTGCTGGTTCTCAGGCTTGTCCCCAACAGGCTGACCTCCTTGGTCAAGGGTCCCAGGAAACTCCACCAGTGCTGATTAGCCTTAGCAGCTGGAGGGACTTTTAAAAAATGCATGTTTCTAGGCCTGAAGAGTCTGATTCAAAAAGTCAGGAGCAGGGCCCAGGGACAGAAATTTTAACAAGTTCCTACCTCCTAGGTGTTCTTACATAGACTAAAAGCTTGAGAAGCTGTGGCTCACTGGATGAGCAATGCTGCGTGGGCAGTGCTGGACTGTCCTGGCCTGATTCTCTGATATTACAGACAAATTAGAATTCGGCACCTGGGCCTATGAAGGGAAGAAGAGGAAAATGTGTTCCACACCCCCTACCTACTCACCCCACCGTGACCATTCACTGACCCTGACCTAGAAGTCCCCTTGGGAGAGGAGAAATCCAGTGAGGAAGGGCCACACTGGGAAAGAGAATTCAAGTTAAAGACCATGAAACAGTCATCCCTTAGCTCTGAGCCTGCCTTTTCTGGAGTTGACCCTGTCAGGGAGCAGAAAACAAAATTAACTAAATGTTCCTTTAAGCTGGGCATTGAAGTAAAATATCAGGCTGAATCAGGCAAAGAGGCAATTATTTGGAATGTTAAAAAGAAACCAGACACAGAGCATTTTGTGCCAGCCCCGCGCTCCCATTCTGATCCCACTGAGATGAGGCCCACCACATTTACCAGTGTGTAATAAGTATAGTCTTAAAGTCTCATCATATATCTTATGGAATTGAGAATAGGTTTGTCTGCAATGAGGCATTTTCACTGAAAACTAAAGAAGCAGTCTGAAATTTCAGATCATTCTGAATAATCTGATATCTGATCATTGCAGCATTAATGGTGGGGGGATAAGGGTTTTCTATTGGGATTATCTGGATAATTATATTATTCACCACATTTGATTGACCCACAGATCTTGTTGAAGATTCTAACGGGGTGTGATATTCCAAGAGCATTGGAGTGGTCCCCATTTTTCTCCCACTGCCTGGATACCATTCAACCCTATGGGAGCCGGGCAGTGGAAGAAAAATGGGAACCACTATCACCACATTCCCAAGAATAAGAGAAAATGATGAGTGGAATAAAGAGAAGGGATACATACCAGACAAAGAGGGGACATGGAGGAAGCAGAGTGAGAGAGAGAAGGAACGCAGTAGAGAAGGCATTCCAGAGACATTTTCACCTTCAGAACAAAATTGCAATCTGTTTTTAAAAGTTAACCAGAAAACCCCAGAATTTTACTTTATCCCATCCCATCTTCAGCTTGTTTTAAAGGGTATTTGTGCCACGTCTACTTTACCAAAGCAGAGTGCAGACTGGAAGGGATTATCTAAGATATTTTTTAAGTGCTTTCATTTAACATGTGCAGATAATTAGTCTGAACATTTTCACCCAAGTCCTCAATTGCTAACATGGCCATAGTCTTCAGAGGTCTTTCCAGGTTTGCTTTTTGTCCTTTTGCAAAATTTTCTTTACCATCATGGACCAAAAGCCCAAGTAAATAACCTTCTTAGATACAAAAATAAATGACTGACTTACCTGGTATTGAGGATGTGCCCTCATAATTCCACACCAAGAGAAAAAGGCCAGTGAGCAGCAGGATTGGCATGGTGGCAGCAGGCATGGCTTCAGGCACCATGCTGGTGATGTTATAATGCATCGGGTTCAGCATTTCCAAAACCATCTTGTGTTCCTTTACCTCAGAGAAGGCAATTTTGAGTCCTGTGGAAATCAAAGGGGCAGAAAAATTACAGAATCCCCTAAAAGGTTCATCTATAACTCCCGTGGCTTCAGAGGGTGCTGTACAGCACAGATTCACTTAGTGTTTTATAATGTGATCTGACATTTAGACAAGACTAATTTATGGTTACAAGTCAAAACACGGAAGCCCAAGAAAGATCTTTTGGCTTGAATTGCAGCATTTCTGACCTTGGTAGAGTCTCAGGTTCCTTTAGACGCTTGTTCTGATAGAACCTTATCATCTTGCCCTTGAGTGGGTAGAGTGACATGCATTCCCAATTGAAAGCGAAATTTCTTGCCAAAATATAAGAAAACAAAGCTCATTCCAGAGGTGGAGTACTTTTGTGACTTCATCAGCAGGTTTTGTTTAGGCAATCTTCCCTTCAAGCCAAATCAACTTAAAATAAAAACAAAACAAACAAAAAAAAGCAATCCCCCAACTCCCTTTTTTGACCAAAATTACTTTTTTGATCAAAATAGTAAGTTTCTACAGTAAGAACACATTTCTTGGGCATTGCTGAGGTCTTCTCAGAGCCTTCCATCAGTTCATCTGTTGAATTCAAAGTGACTAACTCAGGGCATCTCTAGTGACTTTAATGAAGATCTAAAGTCTCTTGCACTATGGGCCTGATTTAGCAGTGTCCCTAGGGACCAATGCCAACAGTAGTGTGGGAAAAAAAGAATTGCAGAGGAAGAATAAAGGGAGAAGAGAAAGAAAGGAATGGGGAAGGAGAAAGAGAGGACAGGCGGAATAGGATGCCACAGAAATAGGCTCAGGTGCCACTCAGCAACCTCACTCAAAGAGCCGCTAACATCCTGTGCGAGCCAACCAATTTTCAGTTTGATGTGCTGGTTCTCCTGTGTTTTTCAACAACATGCCATTGAATCTGTCTTTTTCAGCAAGGTTTTGTAATACCTTTACTCTTAGAACAGAGTTTCCGGGTTGGTAGGTAGATTGTAGCTGAAGAGGTGTAGGTTGAACAAACTTGTATAGTGAGGAAAGATGCATCATTAAATGCTTTTTCAGTGGCAGATGGCATGCCCAAATGTTTGCCTTTATTTAGATGGTACCTACAATTTTCAGGACTTGCAATGGTTCTCAAGCAGACATGGGCTGGGTTTCACCTAGCAATGAAATTCTTGATTCATAGCCAGGGCTTCTAATTGGATATCAGGGGCTCTGTGGATTCCCTGAAACACTGCATAAAATATTGTATCAGCTCATGTGCACATTCTAGGGGAGAAAGGCCATAACTTTCATCAGATTCTTAAGGAATATGTAATTCTGTTTCTCCTCTGAGCTATATGAGATCTTAAAGTCCAAAGACTGATTTCTGGCAACTACAAAAATTTTACAACATAGTTGAATTTATCCAGTTGCTTCATCATTTTGTTTATATCATTCTACCATTTAACTAATCATTAATGCTTGGGTGCAGGGCACTGAAAATGCCTGTGCCTATGTTGAACAGTTTTGTTGTCATTTTTTAATATATGTAAGTTGAGACTAAAAAGTCAGCCTTGTGACTGTTATCATCTGGCTCCTTTGCTGATGACAAGCTATTTTTAACAGGTTGAGGTTTTAAATGTCTAGAGCAGAATTTGACATCGTTCTGAGTAAGCTCTATATGACTGACAGCCGGGACCCTTGAAATTTCAATTTATGTTGATGTAACCTGAAACCATTGTTCAAAGCATAAATGAGGAAAGTAGTTGCGACAGAAAGGATGAAGATGTCCCACAGGAGGTGATGCCAGCAAAAAACTTCACATTAAAGGAACTCTCAGAGGTATTTCACACATTGAAAGCAAAGAGTGTAAGATGTTGGAGGCTGATGCACATTTATAAAGGACTATGGCAATTCACTGGCATAGAAAAGATGCTCCCTCAGTATCATCATAAGTTATGCAAAGAAAAGTAGGCAAGAACTTTTAAAACCTCTTAGTTTCTTTTTACAAAGAAAGAAAACACTTAAAATCTCGCATTTAGCAAGTTAAGCAGCTTGCTCTAGGGCACCCAGCTCATATGTGACACAGCTGGAATTGGAGCCTAGGGGCTCTGTCTCCAGAGCCCATGCTCTTTATCATGCCATTTTGCTACCTATTATGGGATTTATTCTCCACACTCATGGACTTTTCATTTATGTTCACTCCTGGGCTATTTAGAATGATTCCTTTTAAAGATTAAGCTTTATGGACTTCTGAGTGCCACAACTAGAAAGGTCCTTTGAGATTCTCTCCTGACTGCATGTTGGTTTTCCTGTTCAGTGGGGCATTCTAATGGGCCACACAGGTAGGTTGAACAGAAGCCTTCAAATAGCAGTACAGGAATATAGGAAGGTCCTAGAGCTTCACAGAGGCTGTTTATACATCCCCTTAGCCAGTAATACCCTCCCCTCACCCCCAAACGTACACACACATGCACACAGTTGTCAGGTACTATGCATTTCAGACCATCTCAAATGCCTGGGTCTCCACTGCCTTCTGAGGGTCATTTTCTTGAGTCCCACCATTGTTATTTGCAGAGTGTTCTCTGCCTGCTCAGGCATCCCACGTTGGCCTGGCACCAAGCAGGGTCTCTGACCACTTGATACACTAGGCCTGTGTGCCTGTGCTACATGGAGCCTACTAACATCTTCATTCAGTGCCCCACCAACCTCAGCATAAGGAAATGCCAGTCTTATACCCAAAGTCCTCAGCCTAAGTCAGGGCAAAGGCCTATGGAGACACAGCAGAGCCTAGGTGTCCTGGTGATCTGGGGGTCTGAACACATTCTGGGTCCCATAGTGCCATGAAGGACTCCCAGATCCCCTAGTACAGCTACAGCCCTAACCCTAGCCTTCCACAGGGAGGGGAGGCAGGCCCTGGCATGGCAGAAGTGCTGCCTAGCATATCTAGACCCTGCTAAATCCCACCTTTTAGCATGGAGGGTACTGGCCCAGCAGGGAAATAGACCCAGCTACCCTGGATCTAAGGGCTGGGTGCCAAGCTTGCACTCTCTCTTATTCTCTCCAGCAAACCTGGCCCATTCCTCTTTCACACCCCAACTCCTATAGAAATGCATCTTTTTCCTATCCATTTCCTCTTATCTCCCAACTTCTGCCTGATTGCACTAATACCTGTCTCAGAGCTGACACGTGACCTTTCTACTGCCTGATCCATACCTCTTCCCCCTCTATGTTTGTTCTTGATCTCACCCATTTGGCCACTCCTACACCTTGTATCTGTTCTCCAATGATGGTTGTGGTGGCAGGCTTCTCCCATTGTTTCTTCTATTCCTTTACAGCTGTTCTTCTTCCTCTGTCAGCCCCCCAAACCATGAGCATCTCTCCAGCCTAAAGCACTTACCCTCTCTGCTTTATTCTCCTTTTGAGAACTCATTATTCTCATTATTTTCCTGTCATCAGCTCTTACCTCTGTGAGGGCACCTCTTCCTATTCCCTTCCTGGCCCTGTCCTCTCCATCTCTGAAGCGCAGACTTCCTAGTGAACTCCGCTATGCAGATATTTCACCATTACTCCTCAGTTACGTCTAAAACCCAAGCTGTCAACCTCCTCCTAGCCTTCTCTCTTTGCCCTAATGTTTTTTTTTTTTTAGACAGAGTCCTACTCTGTCACCCAAGCTGGAGTACTGTGGTGGCACAATCTCATTGCAACCTCCACCTCCCGGGTTCCAGCGATTCTCCTGCCTCAGCTTCCCAAGTAGCTGGGATTTTAGGCCTGCACCACCATGCCCAGCTAATTTTTGTAGTTTTAGTAGGGATGGAGTTTCACCATGTTGGCCAGGCTAGTCTCGAACTCCTGACCTCATGTGATTCGAGCCCTAACCTTCTTATACATCATTGCCCCATTGTCCAGCCTCAAAATCTTATTTTGTACTCCCCTTTTCCCTTTACTTTCCTACCGTATCTCTCTCCATCCCAGCCTAACCATATCCAGTCACAAAGTTCTAGGCATGGTCCCTTAAAATGTTGTGTCCCTGTCTCAAGATACATCCCTGTATTTTTAAAAATCTTCTGGCTTATATCTTAACTTTTACAATAGGCCTTAACCCTACCCTCTGCTCTATTCATGATCAAAGCATATCTCAGTGGTCAGTTGAAGGCAAATTCATGACTTCCCTCTTTGCCAAAAATTACCCCCACCTCAAATTCTTTTAAGATTAATTACTCTCAAAAACCTCTGTTGTGAAAAATCTGTTGGGATTCCTGGTAGACCCTCGATCCTCTCTTGGCAGTCCCAAGCTCTAATGCCTTCAAGGGCAACACAGGTGACATGAATGTGGAGGGTGGGGTGCAGACTGTAGCACATTCTAGAGCACAGCCCTCCTCTCAAGGACCAGGCGTGATGCCAAGCAAACCATCTCTCCATGAGCCCAATCGAGACTCCAGCCCATTTGCCACCATTACTCAGTATCTGAATCAAACCATCAAAACCTTCACGGTGCTACACACTGGGAACTAGTCACTTGTGTTCTTTTTGCAAATACCTTTGTCTAGCCTTGCTTTGGTGCTAGGCAGTAAGCTAACTCTGAGTGACTTTGTAAGGTCAGCCATAGGGAACTCACCATTTAATCTAAAGAAAGGATGATGTCCAGGGCAATAGGTAAAATCACTTATTTTTATCATTCTGAGTGGATGTATTTTTGTAAATTTCCTCACACCTCTTACAGGGTAAAATGAGGCACTAATTCATGAAAAGTCAAATTCTTCAATCTGTTTCCTCTCCTTCTAGAAGGTGAATTCCCCAAGGATGGGGATCTGTGTGTCTCTCCTTCTTGACTGTATTCCAATTCTAGAACAGTGTCCAGGACTTCGTACATGCTTGCTACAAACCTGTTGCCTGAGTTTGCACTGTCTCCAGCTTTGTCTGGCTTTTATTCCTCATTGTAAACTCCCAAGACCAGACCTTCTGTTTCACTGTGTTCTGCACATTGCTGCCAGATAGCTTTTCGACTCAGCTTTCATCATGTCAATCCTCTGCT